CTGTGTGAGCTGAGAATGGTTTCATATATAGTACCATTTTTACCTCACTGTTTTGTATTGTTACTTGAGGTTACTTTGCTTTTTAAAAATTTCTTGCTAAATGCCCTGTTGCTACTTCCTCATTGTTTAGTGCCCACATAAAAAACCAGCTAATGGAAACAGAAGAGACAAAGACACTGAGGATGAGAAGCTCAGTTATTGCCATCATTTGTCAGCAAAGCTTTCTCTCCAGTTTGAAAATCTTCCCAGCTTATTTCTCAAAACAGAAAAGTGTCAATAAAGTCTGTTACTGGCAAGCCTGCAGCAGTTCCCTTAGCTTCTCTACCATGCAGCCAGTAAAGACACAGAGCACTTTGTATAGAGGAAGCATGGGTTACACATGCATGTGGAACTTGAGAAATAGGTTTAGCGTGGCTTTTCTCGATAATGCTCTTTCTCTTGCCTTTAAAACTTAACTTTAGTCATAATTCAGATTACGAACATCAAGCAGCCAGGTAGTTTACAGTCCTTTGAAAAAAAATCATCTTAAAACCAGTGCAAAATGTACCAGTAAGTAGCACAACAAACAAAGACAGTAAGTATGAGCTACATCAGCCTTTTGGCTTCGTTACAGATCATTTCCTGCTGAAACACAAATTCAGAAAGATACATGAAAAGAACTTAGCTTCAAGTGTGCAAGGGTCTTTAACCTGCTTATTTTCACTGGTGCATTAGAGGATTCCCACAGGTAACTAACAGGATGTTAACAGGAGTCTGCACCATGGAGCAAATGCTACTGTTTGTACCTAGAGGACATACTTTGTTGGTTGCTTTGTTCACTTGTTTGCATTCCCTACGGTTTGATCTCACCGTAGCCCCCAGAAAACGATGTTGATGTATTTTGCACTTTGCTCCTTGCCCCTGAAGCCGATTTGTTCATGCCGACGGGGGCTGGCACTGGCACACCGGGCACCTCCTGCATACCGGCTTGGCGCTGCCCCAGGCAGCAGGGCACCCAGCAGTGGGAGGAAATGGCAGTCGCGGGTGATGACCTGGGTGGAGCTCCTCACACCGCTTGTCCCGTGGGAGATAGCTTATCGAGGACGCCTGTGTTTCTGGAATAATATACATTTGATTGAAAGCCAAAATTAGAGTAGGGAAGAAATTGACTGCCCAGGGCTGATTGGCACTTGGAGTCAAAGGAGGCAGCACGGACCCCACAGTGGGGATCTCCTTATCCATCGGCACCAGTCTGCTCCTCTTGCAGGTGTGTCTCCACAGTTCTTGCTACTACTCTTCTTTCTGTTATTTTTGTTTCCCTTCAAAAAGCCAGCTGAGAGCCTCTCGTTAAGGAGCTTTCAGTTTTATCTGCTGCCCACTCTCCACCACGTTGCAGCTCGTGGTAAACACTGCAGTTCTCTCAACCAAAACTGTAAAGTGCCAGTGCCACTTCACTGGGCTGCCTTGCCATCCTCAGCCATCTACTTCCTGCTGTGCTAGTGGTCTCTGTCCTGCAATCCAGTGAGCGCTGGGTCCTGTCAGAACAGAAGCCCTACAAAACAGCTTGCTCAACATGGACTGCATACAGCCCCTTACATTTACTGATGTGTTTCCTTTCCTCCATAGCAGTTAAGTTGCATTGTAGCGTCTACCTTTTTAGGCAGTTCTGAGCTGCCTCTAATTTTAAGCGTTTTGCACATGCAGACACCACAGGTGCTTGGTTAACTGGGCAATGCAGTGCTATATGTAGAAAGGAGAGGGTAAAACTGTTGTTTTTAAGCACAGTTAGATGCATCTGCTTTTTCTCTGGCTAAGTTTGCATTACTTGCACCTATATTGTGTCTTCTAAATTTTACTGAAGAAGGGCTGAAGCCATTGCATAATTAATTATGGTTTCTCTGCCCAGAACTTTGTTGGCCTTTTACATCCACATGATTCTTCATGTCACTTCAGAAGCTCATAAGGGAAATATGCTATTAATGGAAACATAATTTAAGTTAAAACGTTGGTCTTTGTTGTTTTCAAGCCTACGCAGTGAATACTGACTCCTTAAATATTCTGTCGACAAAATACTTTCTTATTTCTGAGAATGGCACCCGGCACCCTCTATCCACAGTGCTCTTAATGTGGTAAGAACACAGCTGATGCCACAGTAAACAACTATGATGTAAAAAGAAAAGTGGGAAAGTGGATTTCAGGTCATAAAAAAGTGCTAGAGTTTGGTACTCTGTAACAAAACAGAAGTTACGTCTTACATCAGAAATAACAGAATTGCTGGCAATATTCTGTTTTCTGGGGTTTGCACCTATGTAAAGAGGAAGAGATCCTGGCTGCTTTTGTTGACACATATTGACATGCTGAGGTGATTTAGTTTGGCCTGATAGAGTTTTCTTCATCTTATTCTGCCTTTTTGCAACATTTTCTCTGATTTGTAGTGTTAAGACTTTTCTCCTCCACACCATATCAGTGCTTATGCACTGTCAAATCAGCCAGTACTGTTGCAAATTCATCTGTCTGCTTCTTGAATAGTTATGATGCCTTCATACAAAACTCTTGTTGGACTTTAAAGCTACCATTTAGACATCAACTAATAGCAGCAAAATACTTCTGACTTGTCTTGGAATAGCAACAGCAGCAAAATTCCCGCTGGAGAAGAATATGACTTGGGAGGTGAATACCCCCTTCCAAATGGGATTTTGTCCATTTAAACCTGTACCAGTGCCAAAGTCTCTCAAAGCCAAAACGATTTTACATCTGGGATGAAGTCCCATAACTGTAAGAGATGGTAAACTGGCAATGGATTGAAAGCAAATTACTGATTCTTCATTTGCCTTTTTTCTAGCTGCCTGTTTCTCTGCCCTTTAAAAGCCACCATCCACATCCTGTTTTCCAGGAGGTCCATTTGGTTTCTCCTTTCTCCCCACTACCAACTCTTTGAGTCATTGCAAAACGCCTCCCTTCCCTCTCCGCATTGCTCAACACTTTCTAGGGAAGTCTCCTCTCCCTCCATCCTGCCTTCCTGACTGTCCCAGCCTGAATCTTGTGCTGAGCCAGATACACTGCTCTTCAGTGATAGATCATATCTCCCCTTTCCCCTTTGACATGACAATTTTTTTTCTTTTTCCAAAGATTTGCACAAAGCACCTTTAACTGTAGAATACAGAACGGTCTTTGTAACATTATTTTCAAATGGTCTTCAGAAAACCCTGACTGAAGTTTCCAGTAGACCTCAGAGAGAAAGACAGACTCACCCAGTGCCCTGCTTTTGGGTAACTTTTCCACACTCTGAGTAGGTAAAAAGGGAGCAGGGGAAAGCTGTCAGTTCAATGACGCTGGTGCATGCCACACTCCTTGCACAAATAAAAGGGTTTGTATTGAACTCCCCTGAATTTCACAAATATGTACAAAGAGAGTAAAATGCAGAGCCTTTTAAAGTCATCTCCAACCAAATTGAATTGATTAATGAGTAATTTCTTAATGGTTTTACAAAAGCCAGTGAGAAATTATTGTCATAGAGCTAATATCTGCATGTATGTGTATGGATGTGTACACAGATTATTTCTACAAACACTGTATCAAGTAACTGTTTGAGAAACCTGCATAAATGCTGAGTATTTTTTTGATCAGTGCATCTGAAAAGCCTGTTTGCCAGGTATTTGTCACATCATCAGTGCTCCAAGAGTGATTTTCCTCCCTATAGCAAGGGAGGGACAGGAACCTCTCTCACAAAAGAAATAGAAAACACTGTTGATTTTATTTTCAGTCTAAGTCCACAAAAAAAAAAAAAAAAGAGAAAAATATATAGCCTGCCTTCCCATTCTTCATTCAGATTTAATAGAAGTCCTTAATGTTTCTACTGGAGTGATGTCTTTTCCCGTTGTGTTTCCTACACCAGTGGGGCTTTTTTCACTAGTTTTTATCTGGAAAACAGGTTTGCAAAAAGTGCTAAGTTTGACCATGAAGAGATTTTATTTGTTAATTAGACCTATTAGTCCATGAGGACCCAGGGTGAGGTAGGTGGCCCCATCATCCATCAGCTTTCACTGGCAAAGCGAGCTCCACACCTGAACACAGTCCCTGCCATAAGCTGCACTGCTGAATGGATGTCCTTGTAAAGGCATCCTGGATGCTTGGCTTCATCTGCGTGTGGACATTCATCGAGCAGCACAGCTATGGCAGTCCAGGAGCATAGCTGCAGAGAGCTTTAGTGGAGATTGACTGAATCAATATCCCTATCATTGCTCATGTCAAGGAGTGAACTCCATCATTACTTGTATCAGTGTGCCCCATGGCATGTTAATTTGCACATGACTACTCATAACATGCAGCATATAGTGTGTCTGTGCAGCTACTTTTGTGTAGATACGTTATGAGGACAAGCCTTAGAAATGCAAACAAAAAATCTGCCAATATATACAATAGTATATATATATTTAAAATTGAACTCCCTCTTCTTCCATTGCATAAGACCAGCCAGCATGAGCAGCAAACAATGCAATTTTGCTTTTTATAAGTGCAGTGACTAGAAACAAGGATGTAGAAAGAAGAGACCTCTGGTGTACAAAGCAGGCATGTTGGCAAAAAGTAAATCCTGAGAGGAAGCTTGCATTGCAGGGGCCTGCAGTTTCCCTGGGGTCAGGAGAAGGCTGTGTTAGGTGCTCTGCTCCTGTTGACCCTTTCAAGACACTTCAGCAAAAGCTCCTCTTGACTTCAGCAGGAGTTAACCTGTGAGTGAGGGGAATACCCAAGAGAGGTTATGAATTCAGAAAACATGATGAAACTTGTTGGATGCTTTGGAAGTAAAGGGCATTTTTACAAATGGGAGTCATTCTGAGCAGGTCGGGATTCCCCTGCAAACTGTCCTGCTGTTTCTGCTTCATCCTAAACTGCTTGTGTTGCTTCTATGATGATAGCTCTGTTTTTCTCCTAAGTATTTCTCCTATAGCAATAATGCCATCTTCTTTTACATTTGCTAATAGCAGTACCACAAACCAGCATCCTGTTTGCCTTCTTTATTGCAGCTGTATACGGGGCAGAAGGCTTTAGGGACTTTCATGCAATAATTCCCAAATCTTTTTCCCGTAAGTATATTGCAAACTCAGCTCACTACAGAGCATTTCTGCCTAGTTCTGACTTCTATAATTTTTGTTTGTGTCATTTCACTTCTCAGTATTGTACTGCATATGCTTTTTTTTGTAAATTTGTCTGCATACAGTACCAAAGAAAGAGCTTCATCAGTCCAATTTCTTTGTTTCCCTCATATGTATTATTTCAATTTAAGACAAAGCCTACTTCAAAAGCCACATTCTCCAGATCCCTGGCAGGAAAGGATTCTGTAATTGTTTTGTATAAATATATTTACATTCAAATTATTATAATTAAAATTAAAACAATGGGGTGTGAATTATGTAAAATCTGTCATGTGCTCAAGCCAAATAGTTATATTGCTTCCATTCGCCATGGTGAAAACAGCAGTACGGGGTTGTAGTCCACTAAATTTGCAGAATAGTGTAGGTCATTTCTGTTTAGCCAGTCATGCCCCCTTTGTAAAACAGTTTGGTCATTGATTTTTTTTTTTTTCCCCCATAGCTCTAAATTACTCCTCTTTTTAGGGCATACATTTTAAAGGAAAATCTGCTATTTATGATGTGCGTTCATTCTGTCTTGCATATGATTTCTGTTAAAATGGCAGTATTTGAAAAAGCTTTAAAATGCTGCTTAGATTGGTAAACTTTATAGAATGTGTCCAGTTAGTCAGTGTTAAGAAATGTGAACACCTTTGCACTCATCCCGTTTCCCAGTAGGATTTTGAGTCTGACACTTTTGTCAGTCACATCCATGCAATCCTCCTGGGACACCTGAGAGGTTGTAGGATGTAGCAGAGAATAATTTGCTAACCCTTTCATTTCAAATGAATGTCAAGGTTTTTCACATCTTGAGGTAATACTGTCCATAACTTAGTTATGTCATTGGTACACCGCCACTTACCAATAAGGCTACCATGAAACTACAAAAGGAAAAGCCTTGATCTTTTTTGGGTGAAACACACCTCTCATGCACTCACCTAGGCATTAAAGTAAATGCTCTCCTTTTTCGGATGGGGTGAAGGAAGAGGTTTTTCACAGAAAGGAAACTAAGATTTGGGGCAGTGAAATGAAGAGCTAATTTTTCACCCCAAATTGTAACAATAGAAAAGACGGAAATAACTATAAAGATGATTTATTCTACACAAAACATCAAACAGTCCTGTGGAGAGAAGAGGAATGAATACTGGCATTGACTGATCTGAATCTTGGCCCTTTTCCATAACACTTAGGTTTGCTGTGATCGTATCAGACCAAATTTACTAATTTACACTATCAAATGTAGTGAAGCTGTGTCAAATTTATACCTGAATTCTTCTAACTTCAAGCAGTTGTCACATATAGGGTTATGACACAAAGGACTTATCCAATAGAGTCAAAACAGTTCTCTCACCCACCTTTGTTGATTTGACTGTTTTTTTTACCAGTAGCTTATGGCTGTAGAGATGCTCTTTTCTCATTCAGTGATCCTAATCCTGCTGTCCTAAAAACACAATTATCACTCCTACAATTTCTTGTAATGCTAGTTCCTGCTCTTAAATTCTTAATTCCATCCTTCCCCACCCTGGTTTCATGATCCCTGCTTGTACTCTTCACTTTCCCATTGTCCTCGTTTGCCCCATAGAACTGCAAGCCAAATATTTGGTTTCAGTACAACCCTTGGGATCTTCCTGCCAAGTGGAGAATGTTGCATTTTCAGTTAATTTTCATCCATTTTCCTTGATGAGTTACTTACTTGCACAATTGTTTTGGACAAATCCATATAAATTGGATTCATTTAAAGTTCAGTTCCAATAATCCTGAATTGTCAAAGCGAACATTACAAATACAAATCTCTCAAAGTGATCTAAGAACAGACTTGTAATGTTGCTTGGGTTCCCAGTTCCCTGGATGCCTTGTATTTGTCTCACTGATATTCACTGTTCATTTGTTAATGTGTTACAAACTCATCATATTGCCCATGGAAATGTAGTCGTGTTTGTAGCTTTTGTTATTTAGGTATATTGTACATGCTATTTGCAAGTTGTCTCCTTTGATGTGATTGTTTCTTTGCCACCGTATGTATTCTGTGACAAAACTGAGTGGCATCCTCTATTGTTTTTTTCAGCCGGTAATATTAAAATAGAGACTCAGAGTGATGAAGAGAATGGGCGTGCCTGTGAAATGAATGGGGAAGAATGTGCGGAGGATTTACGAATGCTTGATACCTCTGGAGAGAAAATGAATGGCTCACACAATGGCCCAGGCAGCAAGGCTATGTCAGGAGTTGGAGGCATTCGACTTCCTAATGGAAAGCTAAAATGTGATATCTGTGGGATAATTTGCATCGGTCCCAATGTGCTCATGGTTCACAAACGAAGCCACACTGGTAAGGCGTGACATAGTTTTTCCTTTAGTTGGCAAGAACTGGCCATATTTTAGGAGCTAAGACTTATTTTCTGTATCATGCACATGTTCCCTCTTGTAAGACAATGTAGCATGGGTAGGCATTTGAAACTCAGTTATTTTGTTATTTTGGACAGCACAGGAATTAAAATTTCTTTTTGACAGAATTCCATCTGTCGGGCTAGAAAGTGTATGTTTGGTTTGAAGCTACATGAAAAATCAAATTTAATATTTTTTTTTGATATCTAAGGTATTTTAAAGAATTGCTGAAGAAAAACTCATTTGTGGCTAACTCTGAAATTGATCCAGTTCTCATGTTTCCAACAATGCAACAAAACTCATTATGGATCAGTGATTATGAATTAGAAAAATAAATGTTAAGGGAACTATACTGACAGTAAAAAAGGAGTTAACTTTATGTCAAATGTTCATGAAGTAAAACCAAGAAGTGCCACTAGTCAAATCTGGACTAAAGGTTTTCTTTCCACTGGGACACTAAAAGAGACATGTAAAGATGATGTTCTCCATATGGATGGCTTTTCATTATCAGTTCTTTGAATCTTGTTGCCATAATTTTCTAATTCTAACTAGTCCTAAAGAATGCAAAAAATGAAGAGGCTGATACAAATGAAGAAGTAAAGATGAGGGTAAGTCTCATCTTACATGATATAAGCTATCTGAAAATCAGGCTTCCAATATAAAATCTAAGGTCATTCATAGTCACAGCAGAACTGAACTGTACTGTTGTGCTACACAAGTTACTTTGAATATAAATAAAGTATTTGGCATTTTTTCATGAACATTCAAATGAGAGGGAATTTTAAAATATTTTTAAGGTGAGAATAACCTGTCAGATGGCTAGATTCCACTGAAATAGTCCAGCTAGTGAACACAAAAATACTTTCTTCCCCTGCATCCTGACAGTCGTGCTTAACTGATTTCCCCAGAATGACTAAGGAATGAGATTAGAAGGTTATTTTCAGAGTAATGGAGAGGATCCGCAAAAAGACCCTGAGTGTTGTCTGCCCCCTCCAGTGCTGTCTGCTGTAACTGTGGCTGTTCAAGCTCTGGAAGGGTGTGATGTGTTAGTGTAACATGGGTTAGCCATGCTCAGAAGCTGTGCTGGTGATAGCAATGGTGTTACATTGACTACTTCAAAGTACTCTTCAATTTAATATGATAAATCCCTCTGTCAGGGCAGAGCAGATAATTATCTTTATTGGAAAAGCCACATCTAGTTCCCAGAAGAGAGGCTGCAGCGTACTTCCTAGATATAATAAAGTGCTTGTTGGTCTATTGTTTCCCTTTTTTTTTTAATTTAATATTAATATTATCCTTTAAAAGTTGATAAATGCATATGGAAAATGACTTGGACATGAGGCCTTTTAGACAGAGCCATAGGCTTGATGAGGATGCTGTAGCAGTTGAAATAAAATGTTGCAAATTAAAATGCATTTAGAGGTAGAAGTTTTTGTGCTTGTTTAAGAAGGCTTTTGTTTAATTAAAAGTATGCTGTTGCATTTGGAGGAGCTGTTTTGAGTCCCTGTGGATCAAAGGCAGCGTTTGCACTAGGGCTGAATGGCCATTGTGGGGCATACCTGATTTTAGGGAAGCAGTGGGCAGAGCTGCCTTTGCCTGGCACGCTGAGTCTCCGGAGGATGAGCTGGGCTGCCTGTCCCCCATGACAGCATCACCAGGGGCCACCTCATTGGTTTCCCTGGCATAGACCTCCAGATGCCCCGTGTTAGAGGGGCTCATATGCCTGCCAAGGGTGATCAGGATGCTGCCACACAAGAGCTGTCTCTCTAAGAATTCTCCACCCATTCCAGAGCCCTCCCCTTGCCAATGGGACCTTCTTTTTAATCAAAGAACATTGTTAAAGCCTATAATGGAAGCACCCCATGAGGTGCACTTTGCTCAGCAGGAACCCCTTCTTTTGCACTCAATAAAACCAAAGAGTGTGAAGTTTCACCCCAGAGTCCTTCCATGGAAAGAAAGCCTTTGCTTTCCCTCCAGCCTTGTCATCAGCTGCTCTCCTGAGAAGCCTCTTAGGTGTTTTTTCAGGGCCTGGCAAGGGAGTGGAGGCTCAGAGCTGGTAGTTTAAATTAAAGGGATGTCATGGGGAAACTGTGGTGACTGCTTTTCCTTTCAGCTGCACTGTGAAAATTAAAGTAGATACGGGATATACTATTACAGACATTTAACTGACTATGCCAAAGCCCATTTCAATACATGCCTGGTGAAGGAATAAGCCTCACAAATGAATTACTTTGCTGCTAATTCATGTAAAACCTGCATATACAGTGAGGCTTCCTTAAATAAATATTTGATAAGTGAACAAAACTCTAGCATGCTAAAGTGCCAAAATAAAATGACTTCCTGACCTGATAAAAAGCATAATTACTTTAAATGAATACACCTGCCAAGTGCAGATACGCAGAACAGCACCTGATATTTCTGTCCCCTCCTGTCTGCTAGCAGCTGTACAGCACTGACTGCTACCTGTTGTTCCCATCTGTGGAGCAAATCCCACTCACAGATGCCCAGCTCTTCTCACTCACCTTCCCTGAGGCTTTCAGTACATTGATTTTCTCCAGCTTGCTGCTATCGTGCTTGGTGTTTAGGAAAAAGACTATCTAGAAAGGACAGAGAAATCCCCTTCTGCTCCTTGGTGCTGAGACCTCAGGGTATTGATTCAGGCTTCGCTAGCTCATTGTGCACATATGTATGTGCATGGTGTGCTTATGTATATGTGCATATATATGTGTGTGTGCATAGGTATATATAGTCCCTCCTTACATGTACACATCTTTAACTTAAGTAAGTCACCAATTAGTTCACTTATGTCTTGTTAGCTGGGTCTGAATGCCTCCAGTTTATTTAGAAAACTAATGCCCAAACAAAACAAATCAAAGAGAAAAGAGCTATACATGTCTCTGAGTTTTGGATGACTTTGTCATTATGTTGTTTAAGAAATAATAAATATTTCAATTAAGAGGATCAATATTCTTCACTGAATAAGTAGCTCAGGGCCCATGCTGCCACTAAGGCTTGCAAATCACTCCAGTGGTGGTTGGTTCAGTTCAAGGCTCCCATTGCAAATTTTGCTTCTTGGCCCATATTAGTCCATAGTTACTCAATGTGTGGTGAAATTGGCCCAGGATAGGTTGCTCAGAACTGGCAACAAAATAGCATACAAAGCTGATTGTTTAAATAAAAGATGCATAACATTTTTTCTTCCCATCCTTCCCATTTTGGGAGGGTAGTGCCGCAACCAGTAATTTTCCACCAGTGACCATCTCCATCCTAGTAGGGCTAGGAGCTTTCCTGGTCTCACAAGCCAGGCTTTTCCCACCCAGGTAGATGCAGCGTGGACAGCCAAGGGCCAGTCAAGCTACACATAGTTTCAGGATCTTGCAGTGTTTGTGTCATTTTCCTTGCACAGCAATGTACGTGCAGGTTCTCTTGCATTTGATCCATTACAGAACTGTATGTTCTGTAGAAATGTTTGAAATGCAGCAGTCTCATTTGAAATGCTCCATCCACCCGTCTTCACACAGTGCAAGATTTCACCCTGTAATAGCAAAAGCTATAGGCTGGAGATAGATTTCAGTGTTACTTTGCTTTACATTTCATTCCTGGAGTACTTCTACGATCCTTGTTTTCTCCTTGTACGCTCCTCTGAGTAAAAATAACAGAAATGAATGCTCAAAAAGCTCTTTATAAGAATTAACCATTTCTTCTGAATTTGTGTCCTCCATGACAAACTGACTTCTTCAATACTGTTTCAGTCCATTTCTGAAAAATACCTTCCACACTGAGTAATTGGCTCAAAGAATGAGTGGTAAAGCAGACAATCTCTTACCCATTTTCTTTTTCCCCTAACAACTACTGCACATGGCTTATGAAGTACACTGCAGAATCTATAAGGCTCATTTTGGCATTTCTGTGGACCACCCCAGTTGAACCAGTTGCACCTATAGTTTAGGTGAATACAGCTACTTGATGGACAAAGAAAGTGAGCTCATTTGGCTTGACAGGGGCTATGCTGACCTACTTACAGCTATTTGACCAATGGTAATATCTTGCTATAAAGCAGATTACTTTTATTTTTTGCTGAATGCTAAATCTACCAGCCCTGATGGTTGAGTTTACAGATTTTTGGGTTATTACTGTGCTGCTGTCTAATTGATTTTCAGCTGTTCTACTGCATTACCCAAAAATCAGAAATTATCATGCTGCATATATATCATGTATGGACATGCAAGTGGGTCCTAGGTGTGCAAAATAATACATGATAGTTAAGTGAGTGAGGGAAAGAAACTGTTTAACTTGTATTTATTTTTATATATATTTTAACTTCAGCACTAACATTTTAAATTCAATATTACTGTTATATAAAGAAAATCAAAACTAAGAATAGGTCATCTCTGGGCTATTTCTAGTACCAATAGTGTGTCGTAATTACTAGAGCAGATTACATTTATGCCTAAGAGAAACAGAATTCAGCAAATGAGTTTCAAATTTGACTAAGTTGACTAATTTGACTTAGTTGAGGGCTACAGAGAAATGGGCATACAGGAGCAGTTCCTGCTGATACAATACTCCCATATATAAATTTTCCTTTACTCCTACCTGGTACAACTGGAAACATATTTTATTTCTCCCAGACTTAAGAAAAGGCTTCAAATGTCTTAAATTAAAAAAAAAAAAAAAAACCAGCTAAGTGAATAAATGAACATACTGATTTTAAACAGCACTAAAAAGCAAGCAACTGCCATACTAGTTTTTGCAACGGCTAGTTGATTCGCATCCTTAATAGCAGGCACCAGTTTAGACAAATCAAGGCTGTGTCTCCAAGTTTTATCCCAAGTGTCCATTCAAACTATAGACCAGCAGAGGCCATTTGTGCAGCTCCTCTGCTCATGCCTGGCCTAGGAAGGGTTGGGACTTCAGCATGGAAGTACAGAGCTTCCTTCGCACTGTCTTAACTTATGTGATTTTACTGTCTCTCTTTCTCTTTCTCTGTCTCCTTCCTGATTTGGCTGCTTAGGGACAGACAGGTAATGGAGAAGAAATTGAAAGGGAAAATACAGGGAAAATGTAAATGAAAAGAAGTTATTATAACTGTTATAATGAAGTGCCTTTCATTTAAATATAAGAATGTAACGCTGAAATGAACTTGTGATCCTGAAATGCATTTTTAATGAGTTTCCTTTTTATTTTGCTGCTTCAGTGGCATATTTTAAAGACCCTTTGAAAAAAGCCACATTAAAAACCCCACCAAATGCCACAACATGCAAAATTGGATATTGGTTTATTCCAAAACTGCTGATCAGGAAGAGTGGCTCTTCAACACAAAATGTTGCAGTCACTTTATTTAAATGAGTTTGAATTTGCATTGTGATGTGCCATTCTGATTTAGAAAAAAAAAATTAGATTTTCAGATCAAATTGACCCAGCCAGTGAAGCATTAAGAAACTGGCAGGTTTAGTCTGAAAGCCTCATGTTATATCAAACCTGCAGCCGGTGGAAGTCACAGAGCAGCAGTGAGAAAACAACTTTCTCACTGAAATCTTTCTCTTGTTACTGCTAAGATTTTTTGTTCTCACATATTTTATCCTTCTCTCTGTAGGAGAGCGCCCTTTCCAGTGCAATCAGTGCGGAGCCTCCTTTACGCAGAAGGGCAACCTTCTGCGCCACATAAAGTTGCATTCTGGTGAAAAGCCCTTCAAGTGTCACCTGTGTAACTACGCCTGCCGTCGCAGGGATGCCCTTACGGGACACCTGAGGACTCACTCGGGTAAGTGAAGGTGTAGGACCATCCAGGGGCACTCATCACTGTACCCATTGAGAAGACGGAGGCGTTTGTGACCCCCAAGACTGAAAGGTCTTCTCACCCTGGGGAGGCGAGTAGCCCCATGTTGGGGTTAACCAAGCTGTGAGCTGTCCACAGTGTTTTAGCAGCAAAGAAATGACTAAACACATCTCATTCTCATGGTCATGTTTCTTTTCCCATACTTAGCTGATTAAAAGTTTCTGTATTTGGGTTTCATCTTACAAGCCTCATGTGAGTAATCCATTTCATGGAACTACGAACATGAATTAAAACTGGTGGACTGGTTTAGGGTTTGGATGGCATTTATCAGCATATAGAGATAATGTAAGTTCTAAACAGAGTAGGTTTCAAGTCACAGTCTCAAAAACCTCCAGTCTGGTAGTCATTCTCGACCTAAGGAGTAAATACCACCTACAGCATTTAGCAGCAGTTATTTGTTACACCTTGTTATTGCAACTACTTTGAAAGAGAAAGAGTGGGGAGGAGGGAGAGGGTGGGAGAGAGAAAGATAATAATCTTCAAAAAGAGAGGACTCTCAAGAGTTTTTCAGTGTTCTATCTCAACAGTATATTGAATAAATATTTTTTAACAGCTGCACTTTTCCGTTACCATGGACCTTTCATTGTTTGACAGAAGCCATAGTCAAACACCTTCTGTGAAGGAAAACCAATTTAGCGCCTTCAAAGTGCCTTTAAAAGCAGAGTGTTGTCTCATCTAGTTTCCCAAGCTAAGCTGGAAATGCAAATTGGTATTTGGATAGACCTCCAAAACACAATGCTGGAACTGACACTGGTAACTTTACTTGTGAAATTGACTTTGGGACTAAGTTCTGTGTATCAGAAGGGAAGCTCTCACAGTGACATTTCTGTGTTACACAAAAATAAGGAAATTCTCTACACGTTAAATTAGAGCACACATTAAATAATAAGATCCCTAGTGTTGGTCCCAGATATCCAAAATAATTTCCACTTCTCCTGTCCAGCCCTGACCCAACTCAGGAAATCGTATCTTTTAAAATACTACTTTGCCTCTCTCCTTACTGTTACTGATTTTCATCGCTGCACAATTTTAAACATAATCTTTCATACATGAAATTACACCTAGACACTATCGGCAAACTGAAGATTCGGTAGCTAAAGAGACAATGCATGAACTATAGATTGTGATTAGTTCTCGCAATTGACAAATTGATATCAATACATTATAAAACAACTTGAATGTCTGAGTCTGATTTAAACTTGAGAATTTGTAAATGGAATTCAAAAGTTAAGCTGTGTAACCATCTAAAACTGTGGAAGCACATATAAGGTGACAGTCTTTTCATGCTAAGACAGAAAATTCAGGTCCACAAGTCTATGAAACTGTATTGTTACTGTGAAATTCCTGTAACTACCTACATCTGGATTGGTGTAGTGCAGAAAATGTTTTGTCATGCCATCTCTCTTGAATTTCCAGAAGCAGAAATCTAACATTGTCCTAAAAGGGCTGAGCTGATTGTGGTTACGTCAGAATTGACCTCCAGTCATGGGCAGGTGTCTCTACCTATGCTATCAGTTCCCCAACAGCAGTCTCTGTGGGAGCTAGGCACTACAGCAGCTATACTCAGACTTCTGAAGGTGTCTCAGTTTCTAATTTGTGCAGATGCCATTTTTGAAGGTTTAATGTCTCAGTCTTTATCTGATGTGAATCATCTAAAATCAGCTTGCAGTACCCACAGAAATGGCCTGTTGATATGAACATAATTAGCTAGTTTTCCATTAGTTTGGGTTTCGGTTTTTAAGTTTTGGGTTGTTCGTTTTTTTTTTTTAACAAAATCTTCCTTCAGTTCATCACAGCATGGGGTTTATTTTTGGGATGGTTTTCTTTTTCCTGTTCTTCTTACCATTATTAGTAGACTGTTGAATACTTCATCTGAATCCCTCCATTGATTGTGTTTTCTGCAGTTGGCAAACCTCATAAATGTGGATACTGTGGTCGCAGCTATAAGCAGCGCAGTTCTTTGGAAGAACATAAAGAACGCTGTCATAACTACCTGCAAACCATGAATATCTCAAGCAGCCTTTATTCAGGTAATGAACGTGTCCATTTGGGGGTTAACTCTTCCCTGTCATGTACACAGAAAAAGGAGTGCAAAAAGAACAGTAGTACTATTTGCGGCATCATTTGCATTGGGGAGGCACACACGCACCCCATATGTATAATATTGTATTTGGATTTATTCTACATTTGATAAATATTTGGCTATTGTCTTGTTTTGTTTACCTCAAACAAAAAGCCAAAGTAAAACTCAGGTGTGTAGCAAAACACTTGCAAGACATGGAAAATTTCAGTTCACCATCTCAAGTCAGTATGACCACATCATCTCACCACCTTTCTCTTTTGCCCCGAGTCCTGTATTGCAGTACTCCTGTGGATGTATTCTTAATAAAGGCTTAATATCAGTGTTCTGGGTAGGGCTGGAGAAGCTTCCACACTGCACATCTTCTGCCCTTCCCAGGCACACCTTAAAGGGCTTACTTGACCACTGGTACCAGCTCATCTAAAAAGGATGAGCCATCTATCTCTGATCTCACTTTTCCAAGCATGAGGACATGAAGCCAGAGGCATTTAATATAGTTTGTCTGTCTGAGAAAATCCAGAAAGGCTAATAATTTATTGACAGATTTCTTCCCAACCTCCTTTTTAAAAGAAAACTGGGTGATGTGATGAATTGTTGTGCTTCTCTGAGAGATCAGCCTTATGATGAAGGTAAAGTCCATTTCTTGAAGAGCATCCAATCTAAAACTATGCCGAGAAATACAGCAAGCAGGTATTGGGATTTGGATTGGTTTTTAACAAAGGTCCTAAAGTTCTATGTGGGATTGATTGCAGTAGATAACCATACAAAATCCCCTTGCATGTGTAGTTTTAGATAGAGAATATAAGATCCATCTTCCGTGGTGGAGTTTCAGCCCACCCAGTAAGTTACACTTCTTGCATACCCTTCTCATCTTGTCTGTATATGCTATTTGGCTTTTCAAATTATGAAAATGAAAGGTTGCTTCTGACCTATTTGCAATAATGACTCATTTAATATTTTATATCTGGACAGAACCTGAATATGTTTTTACATGCTATCAAATAATGTAAAGTATATGCACATAATGATAGCAGCAAATACAGATGAGATACTTCTAGCAAACAGCATGTTACAGCAGCACCCCTTCTAATTTTATTGAGGGGCTGGAGAATGTATGTATAAATAGAAAAGCTCAACATAATACACAGTAGGCGACAATACTTATTCCTCAAAAAGGTGATAGGATTTAGAAGCAAATATTCTGTGTTGGTATTTGAATTTTCAGTGTCTGGCACATGGATTTGAATGCCTGCACACAGAACATGAAAATCTGTGTGAATGAGTAGCTGAACTACTACTAAAGTCTTATTAAGCAAAAATGCCCAGATGAAACTGATGTCAGGAATCATAAACTTCGATAAGGAATAATACCATTTTAGAGATGGACTTTTGTTTATAGCGAATCATGACAGGAGAGTTTACACTGACTTAGGACTAATATCTCAGTGGGATGAAAACTTATGGAATTCATGAGTGCTTTGGAGCAATTACTTTTTCCTTGCATATATTGAAAGTATTATATAAACCCATATTTAATATAATAAGAGTGCTTTTTCAAATTAGGAAAATAGAGGATTAGCTTCAGGGTTTAGACATTATATCCAGCCAAAAACTTCACTCTTAAATGAACTGAGTTCTCAGAACTAATAAATCAACGTTTGTGTATCTAAAAGAGGAAACTTTCCTGCATTTTTCCTAGTATTTTTCATTCTAATCTATTCTACTTCATTGCAAACATAACATTTTACCATTTTGCCATTTTACATTATTTCCCTTATAAACTCAAAGACGAAAATGTACAAGTGAAACAGTTGAGAATGAGTGGGTGTCTTTCTGGGATTTTTAGTGCATTCTACGTTACATCTAGAAAACCAAATAGCTGTACTACCACTGTCCTAATAATATTTCAGGGTGTGATATAGAGGTATTAGAGTCAAAATTCAGGCCCTTCAGACTCAAAAAAGTTTATACAAAAATCTGCTAGAACATCTGATTTGATATTCTGCTAGATTGGAATTGCTTTGTACAGCATTTTTAAAATACTTTGTGCAGTGTACCTAGAAAAATTATCAGTTGAAAGAACCTGAACTGGTAGAAGCTTTTCATCAGCTTGTAAATCTAAGAAATAGAATTGATATATTATAAAGTACTTCAGTAAAGGAAAGATCCAGCAAAGAGAGTAAGGAGGGGAGCAAGAGATTATTCGCATTTTAACTCTTGTTTGCTTTCTTTAAGATAGGAGGTTCATCATGAAATTAGGAACCTGCTGAATTTAATGGCAAAATTCTTATTTTAGAGGACTAGAACCTCACTGTCTATGTGAAGTTCTTCTCTTACAGGTATTATTTGGAGTTTTGCATTTGAGTTGAATGGAAGTGTGCTGAAGTCTTACCAGGCCTATATAAAATAACAGACGACACAGTTTACGAAGTTTAAAAAGGGTCAATTACAATTCTTCAGTCACTTGTGGATTTTTGTTTGAAAATATAAAATGATATCTTTTTCAGTTCATAGACACCAAATTACAGAAAAATAGTTATCGGGTTGGTAGCAAATTTCAGGGGGGCTCAGTTGCAAAGGCTTGAAATTAGTATGTCATTTTTACTTTTCTGTATAGCAGGTTTTAAAGTTTGAGACTTGAATACATAACTTACCCTCTCTCAAACTGATTAGAAATTGAATGTTATTATATCCTAAACAGATATTTCCTGATCATTTCTACTTTTAGCTAGCAATTTGATCATTTGTTTCCCTGTTGAACAAGCTGGTTTAGAACATTCTCTGTCTCTTCCTGAAGTGGTATCTGGAAGCCTAAGCCAGCACAAGATGCTGGCATGTGCTTGTTCAATGATGACAAGGCACCACCGATGCCCTTTACTCTTCTTCAACTTCATGATCAAATTCTGCTCATAACTTACATTTGTCACAGTCTTAAGTATCTTATGGGGTTGGGGCATAATTCCATGAGACTTACTGTCACTGTCACTGTCACTGCAGTATGTGTTACTGCAGCAGGGACTCAAGAATCAGTTGTGTGCTCTTCAGTTTTGTGTTGTAGAGTGTTGTCGTCTGGGACACTTCACCTGCTCCTTCTAATTATCCACCAGACCCTGATTTCACATCTTTCAGGAGCAATGAAACTTTCACAATCATCCTTTTATGGTAGTGGTATATTGCCAAAATAATACCACATAGGAACAGCATGTTCTCCACTATTGAGAAACACCCAGGTGCCAGAGTAATGGATTCTGTGAGCTGGTAAACTCAGTGATAAAACAAACTCTCAGTAGGCACAGAAGGCAAAAGGTAGCAGAGTGGTACACCTAATTGAAACAGCTTGCAGAATCGAAGTCTAAAAGTCATCTTTTGCATCTCCCTTTAATAGCAGCTAACTACTTCAGGAAAAATACCTGTATCCTAGTATCAGGTAAAAGTAAAATTAATTCCTTTCTCTCCTGTCTCTGACCTCTCTTGCCAACTCGTCCCTCCCCTCTTCCCCCAAAACAGAAACAACACAAAACCAAACAAAATAAGTTTATCAGTTGTGTTGTGATCTTGCTGCATGGCATTTTTCCTTTAGATGTTGGAAGTCAGAAATACCTTTCCATCATAGTCATTGCTTTGACAATGCATTTTCATATGTCCCTTCCCTTTCTGCAGGAAAGTACTGAAGTAAAGCACAGTGAAAGTGAAATAGTCTCCTTTTCTTTGAGCCTTACAGCTGAGCTCCTTTCTAATTCATTAGTGTCACAGCAGCAGCAGGAGGTTGGGAAACAGGTTTGAGTATTGGATATCAGTGCTCCCCTAGATATGTGACTTGAGCAACTTAAATTGCCATTTAAAGTCTAAAATTGCATCAGTGAAGTATAGAAATATTTACCAAAGAAAAAGAAGAGGGTTGGGAGAAGAGCTGGTGTAGCTTGCAAATGAATCTTCTGCGAGAAGTTTGTCCCTTTTTCTTGCTGAAAAAGTGATGATTATACAGGCAGTTCCACTGAGAAAGGAGCAGAGAGATGGTGGGGGTGAGAGCAGGATGAAAAGATTAACTCCTTTATGTCCAGTATAATGTTAGGACCTCATTTATTCACAGAAATGCAGAGTGCTCTAGAACAAGGGTGAAGGGATTACATTGCTTACAGGCAGATGCCTTGCAGTTGCAATCTCATTTTTGTATCCTAAAGGAAGGAAACATGAACATGTACATAGATTGATCAGCATGAGGGACTTTGTTAACAAGAGTCGGAATCATTCTGTGTCTGCGATGGTGAGCTTCTCCTTCCAGTTGGTTGTGAGCTTAAAGACATTAGCTGAGAAACATTAACCTGAAGACAACAGTTCCATTAAAATGGAACAAGCATGCCTAACCCTTCTGATGTCATTTGATTTCAGTCATAAAAGAGGATACTAACCAGAGTGAAATGGCTGAAGACCTGTGCAAGATAGGGTCAGAAAGATCCCTCGTGCTGGATAGACTAGCAAGTAACGTCGCCAGACGTAAGAGCTCTATGCCTCAGAAATTTGTTGGTAAGAGTCAAACATTTGCTGTCTCCTAAAAAATAAAACAAAACCAAAAGCCATCTCACAAGATTTTAACTTTCGCATTATGATTTTAATTTTACTTGTTTTACTAAGTTAGCTATATCTATAGAAGCAAATACAGAGATGTGTTGGGGTAAGAAAAAACAAACCAGACCAAATCAAATCAACCAAACTTCTCCAGCATACATTTCTGCATGTTTAATTTTACACATCTGGAGATTGGTTTTAACTCTGTTTTCCCAACTTTTTCTAATGCTTATGAACCAGATCGCTACAATATCTGGACAGGTTCCTGAAGTTGCCTTAAAAAGCTGCAGATAGGAATAGATGTTTCCTATTGGGAAAGCATTTGACCACACTTTCAGGGTCATTTTATTAACAACTTGGATGACATTCAGATCTGGGCATATTGGTGTACAGTACATAGGCTGGATAATATTATTCATCCCTTCATAAAGTCTGTATACTTTACTTTTACAGCCCAAAATAATCATGGAAACAAATAAAACCAGGTCTGAGAATAATACCTGAAAGACCTTTGGGTACATTCTATAAATATTGCAAAAACTTCATGGCCTTTTTACACATAGTAGTTTTTGTCTTAACTGTGAAAAACAAAAAAAAAGGAGGCTACACATATATTGTTCTGTTCTGTAAGTCTGTACCAAATAGTGGTCACATGAGTTTTGTGTAACACACAGACAGTATTTTGTCAGCTATGTAGAGTTAGTCTTACATAAATAAAAACATGGGAGATCAGAGGACAGTATCTACTCATATCTAGTCAGATTCTTTTATAATTCTCTGCTTGTTCATTTATAATATTCTATAGGAGACAATTAGAGAAAACTGAATTTTTTGAAACAAAATACATGTGAAGAAGGTCTTCAGTCAGAAGTCAAGGCCAAAAAAGACTAGTGTATGGAACAGAAATTCCAAATAAACCTTCTTAAATGAGAACACAAGGATGAAAGGAAAATTAATATTTCTGAGACAAGGAAAGGGGATGTTGCACATCAGGAGGTGCAACAGAAGGTTTGAAATGAAAGTCCAAGATTTTTAAAGTCGAAAGGCAACAACTGCAGGAGGTAGTCAAGGATAAGAAATGCTTATGCTTCTTAAAGGACTTAAGTTGTAGTAGAGGTAGTTGCCAAAAATATATCAGCTACATGAGGCAAACCTGATTCATTTAGACACCCTAGTACCGGATTGCATTAGGCAAAATACTAATTCTATGAAAGCTCCAGAAAGAAGTATTAAAATTTAAAAGGTGCTAGCAAGTATCTTATATGCGATGTATCTGTGGGTGTGGACTAGCTTTTTTGTTCTCCTTTTCTCGCTTCAGCCTGAGAAATAGTAAAGACAGCCACTTTAACTATGAGTTTTAGGAGGGCAGAGTTTCCTGTCAGTTAGTTATTCAGGGTGCGGTGTAGGAAGACAGCCTACTGGCAGCAGATATTTATGGAAATTTGCTAAACTTCAAAAGGATGAACTCTTCTGACAAGAAAATGCCCCCAAATCCTTTCCTTTCCAATCCTCACCTGCTGCTTCTTGTAATAGGTACATTCCTGACTAATACAAGGCTGGGCTGGATAGTCAGGAGAGCTTTTGTGTAATAAAATATGTTTATTGCTCCTGTACATCACTGTGTCATCCCAAATCCCATGTTGAATTCCAGGGAGAAGGAGCAAATGGCACCCTTTGCATAAGGGAAAGATGATCTGCTGCTTCTCTCTTTTTTCTTAAGGCTAAATCATTACCTTTCAAAACTGAGATTGTTCACCAAATTAAGCCAGTTATCTGTAAAATTCTCTACGTATTCCAAACTGGAGTAGCTCCCAGACCCGAAAGCAGAATTGTGCCATCCAAACCAGAGAGTGAGAACTGGTGGTGAGGTTAACACATACTTATCATGTGGAAACAAAAGGCAGTAAAAAGAGGTTAAAAGAAAGAAAGAAAAAAAAATGCACTGAGTGCATTTTTACAGTTTGGTACCTACTGCAGAACCATGAGCAGTGCAAAGCTTGAAGTGCATCAAACCTTTAGCAGTTTAATTTACTTACGCTCTAATAACCACAGAAATGAACTATTATTTTTAATGAGTACAAGTATTACCTGCATTGCCCAGATATAGAAATGATACCTGCCTACCTCAAGTTTGTCTCTGCTTCAGACACTGCTTGGAAATGATTTCTCTTATGAGCACTTAATCCTCTTAGTCCAACCACCGACTAGTTAAGCTACATAAAGCAAAGACTACCCAAGAAACAGCTATTAAAATCATGCCTTCTGGATGCCCAGAATTTTGTGTATAATGAAGACCAGTCTCACTTCTCAGGGGTATACAGTGCCCATGCAATATAAATGATTTTGATCTCATTTCTAACTCCTTGAGTCAAGGGTATACATTCGTATTAGCAGGTTTTCTATATTTAATTCAAGAGTCTTTCACAATGCCTAGTTTGAATCTTAAGCCTCAAAGTCTGCCTGAAGACTATAGCAATAGAAAGGGTAAATCTGGAAGAAAAAAAGAATGCACCCCCATAGAGGGGTGCTCATATTGACAGAATAATAGGGAAAGGAAACAAGAGGAAGTAGAAGCTTGTGCAGCACACCTAGAAGGTGTCTGTACCCTACATCCCTTGTAGGAACTTATGAAATGCTCAGTGTTTCTTTCTCTACTTGCAGAGCATGAACAAACTAGTATGAAACCATATCTTGTGGGAAATGTAGACAGCAGGAATTTCTACACTTCAGCCTCATCATTGCAATAGAGTCATGCTAGATGCTTTCCAAGCTCTTCACTGACTTTGAATAGTGAATTTGACTAGAATCTGGGTGGGTAATTCTTGTTAATTTAATTTGCAGATTTTTTAGTAAACTTTATATGCTTCTATTAGCATTTATTTTAGACAAATTAGGACTTTCCAAGGCCAGCAATGTCATTCTGATTAGGAAATGGTGACAGCCCCTCATAGAGATGTTTGTGGCTTTCAGTGGATTTCCCAAGATCTGAAGAGCTAGAAAATCCATCCAGACTGTAAACAAGCTGTTATTGATAGTTCTTATGAACCAGTGAGAATTTATCCCTTTGCATTTGGATAAATTTATTAGGGGTCTGAAAAGAACACTGATGTTTTACACCATTTGAGAAGACTGTTCAGGTTCATAAAATCAACATCTATGCATTTAAACAGTTTCTTCCACTCCTAAATTTTTCCTTCTATGTTTCGCTTAGTCCTATCTGTCCTGGAATCTTGATAAATTGTAGTGAAACTCAGCATCCAATACTGGGGAATCCAGCTAGAGATACATAAGTGCAGTCGGATTTTAAAAAAGTTCGCGTCCCCCCTTATATTTGGCATTCCAAATCAGAGTTGAAGTTATAAGTAAGAAGTAATCTTGCTCTATATAGGGCTTTTTATCTCCTAGGAAAAATATATTCCAACTACAAATGCCCTTAATTTTTTCCCATGGTTCTTGGCTGCTTCTGTACATGACAACTCTTTGACACTACAAAATTTCTAGAAACATAAGTAGCTTCTGGTAATGTGTCTACCACAGCTTATTTAAACAACAAGGTGGGAAGGAGGAGAAATTGAAAAGTTAAGATTTTGTTAATTTTTGTCCAAAATGACATATAATCACATGGCCAATGTGGGTTATTTGTAAGAAACTGAAGGTCTAAAACTAAAACATACAATTTCCACTAAAAATTTGTAATATCTGGGGGCAAAGATATTGACAATGTGCATCATGCTCTGAAGCATGAAAGCCAGGCTCACTGTAACTGTGCTTGTTTTCACTGTCTTTACCCACCACAAAGGCCTGCCTCAGTCCACTGTAGGAAGCAGATGAAGGAGTCCAGTTAAAGGAGAAAGAGAGGATGGAGCCCTCTATCTTTAGCTCCCATGGGTTTCCATATAATTAGTTCCAGGATCTGTTTTCATCCGTTTGCTTTTCCAAAGATCCCAGATTATTTTGTAGATTAAAATGAAAGAAAAAAACACCAACCAACCATTTTTCTGACCAGCTATATTAGAGAACTATGAATAACTCAGGTGGTATTTGAGCAATTCTTTTCTTCCATGTTGCTGTTCTATTAAACCATGATGTTTGGTTCCTTAATTATGTAGAAATCAACCCTCTAACTCCTGGCTGGTTTTCACTACAGGTGAGAAATGTCTGCCTGATCTTCCATACGATGCCACCACCAACTATGAGAAGGAGAATGAGATTATGCAGACGCACGTTATAGACCAGGCCATTAATAATGCCATCAGTTACCTGGGGGCAGAGTCTTTGCGTCCCCTTGTCCAGACACCACCAGGTAGTTCTGAAATGGTGCCCGTTATCAGCCCCATGTATCAGCTCCACAAACCTCTTGGGGACAATCAGGCTCGCTCCAACCATGCATCTCAGGACAGCGCAGTAGAAAACTTGTTGCTGCTTTCCAAAGCCAAATCTGTCTCCTCTGAAAGAGATGCCTCGCCCAGCAACAGCTGCCAAGACTCAACAGATACAGAGAGCAATAATGAGGAGCGCAGTGGTTTAATCTACTTGACAAACCACATAGGTCCCCATGCAAGAAATGGCATCTCTATAAAAGAAGAAAACAGGCAGTATGATGTCTTGAGGGCAGGTACTGACAATTCCCAGGATGCTTTCAAAGTGATCAGCAGCAATGGGGAGCAAGTGAAAGTTTACAAGTGCGAACACTGTCGAGTCCTTTTCTTGGATCATGTGATGTATACGATCCATATGGGTTGCCATGGGTTCCGTGATCCTTTTGAATGCAATATGTGTGGCTACCATAGCCAGGACAGGTACGAATTCTCTTCCCACATAACTCGAGGGGAGCACCGTTTCCACATGAGTTAAAATTCCTCCGGCACAGATCTAGCCTCAACAGCTGCGTTACTGGAGCTGCACGAGCCACGACAGCAGCAAAGCACGAGTCAGCTGGACTGTAAAAGTGATGAAAGAATCAGAAGTTCATCTATCTTCTCCCACAAGAAAAGTTTTCCTTTTGGTAGCATGCATTGCATCTCAGTTTTCTAAAATGAGTACTAAAGTTTTTACTGAAAATGTTTGATCACCAAAAACCTTTAGTAATTTAAATAGGAGCTTTTGTAGTCACATAGCTGAAAGCCCTTCCCTTAACTGATGCTTCTTGCAAACCTCCCTTGCCAAAAGTGTTAACCATGTGCAGGATGCACTATGCCAACAAGGACATAACAGGCAGGAGTGGCCAAGCTTTCTCACTTAACACCCTGAGCGTAGGTCTCTTACACCAGATATATGTTTTTTTGACTTCCTGGTATTTTTTGACTCCTTTTGGAAGATTAAACTCAACTAAAGATGGAGGTGCCCATCTCAGATGACTTCACAGACAGCTGGGGTGGGATGGAACCCTGCAGCCAGAGTTCTGAGTTGCTTTGGTGGTAAATGTAGAATGTTTCCACCTGCAAGGGTGCTGCCTTGTTTGTGTCACTGGGCAGGCAAGCAGGTATGTGAAAGATAGAAGTAACACCCTTGTAATATACTCTGTGAAGTATGAACTGCATTTAATGTATAGAAAAAGGGTATTGTTGGCTCTTCTTTGAATAAATGTTTTCTCTCCCTACCCAATAAAACCCCACTTTTCGTTAGAGCAGCCCCTCTTCTCTCTGCATAAACAAGTTACAATGTATTTAATTGTTCTTTCTTTTTTAAGTTTTAGTTATTTAGGAAAGTATGATGTACAGTTGAGAAAAGCACTAGGTAGAAATATGTGTGGGGAAAGTCTCCTTATGCACATTTTTCATCTTTTTTTAAATGCCTGAAAAAGATCCAAATGTCCCTCTGTCACATATAAAAAAACCCTATTTTGCTTGCACAGATGTCCTCTTGCAGATACTGCGGCCCCACTCCTAAGTGTTGCACTTAATTATTTTTTAAAGCACTGACCTGAATTAAATCAGCCGGTCAAAATTTGTAGCCTTCTCCTTACTTCCCTGCACTCGCTGTTTAATGAAGGACCAAGCCCCGCAAAAGTGCTGAGAACCCTGGCTTCCTATTCAACAAATCATTTCACCATGTGCTTTAAGTTACTTTTACCTCAGTGGAACTAATCTTAAGGTTAAATAAAAACAGTGTTTTGCTGAATGGCGACCAGAGACTGCAGCACTTGTAGAGTGTAGTCAAGTCCACCACTCCATGGTGGGTTCTGCTACAGGTACTGTAACTTCAGTTAGAACAAAAATTTCTAACTTTAAGAAGACAAGATTTTAACCCCAAGCACAGTTGATACAAAAAATACCTTTTTAAAAGGCTTTTACTTAACTTCCTCTTCCAAATAGTTCATTCCTTTCCCTGAGCACCCTCATACTTTAAGACTGGACAAAAAAGAAATTTTTGCAGCTGCCTAAAAATCTGTCATTTGGTGCTGCAATAGTTCCTGAGCAACACACATAAAAATAACCCATCTTATTAACTTAGTCTAGAAATACTTCCACTCTGCTTAATAACTGGATATTCCACAATAAACACAACTGTATAACCAACAAGACCAGCAGTCTTGTTATACAGGTACATGTTCTCTGTTCACAAGTGCATCCAAACACCTATATTTATTATAAAAGAACGAATTGTTGGAACCATGAATGCTTGTACCCCAGCCAGTTTGGCCTGATATGTGTAACTATATTTGATATACATTTCCTATATATACAAACTATTACAGGCACACAGAGCTCCTTCTTCTGCTTTCACTTTTGCAGGTGTAAGTCAGGGGCAACAACACTGAAGTTAGAGGAAAGATACTGATTAAATAATGAATTACAAATACATGCTTTTACAGTCTCATGTCTCAGCTTCTCATGCCAACTAAGACATTTACCTCAAATGGCACATGGGCACAGAAGTGTTTTTACACTGAAAAGCGCATGTGTGCATGCCTATCTCATAGCTTTGTCATCAGATGTGAAACTCTCTGTATGAGCATCTGTAGACTGATGCACGTACCCACAACGGTGGAAGCAAATTAGTAGCATATTAGGTAGGCTGGTACGTGCAGGATGACCAGTGACCCCCCCCCCCCCCCCCCAAACGAGTAGTGTAAACTACAGGCCCAAAGGTTGTCCCCTCTACTCCTGTATTATAACTCAGTTGCCTTATGTGATGCTATTGCTTATCTCCTTCCAGCCTGAGACACTGTGCAGGGGGTGGGCATAGGAATTTGTGCCCCAGCTATGGTTTTATCATCAATGCCTGCTACACATTCAGCTTCAAGGCAGACTGTACCTGGTAATGAGGTATTACCAAATATTTTGTATAAGAATGACCTGAAGAGGACCTTCAAGGGGGGGAGCTAACAGTGATGAGTCCTCTTTATTCTATTTTATTTTTAATAAAGTTGAAATGGGTTTATTGTTTCATAGCTGGTAGGGTACAGTCAACTGTTCTTACCTCTCTCCACTTTTGATTGATACCAACCAACAAGAGACTGAGCAATTTCCCAGTCCTGCTGCAATGTCCCATCTGAAGCCAGATGTAGGCTGTACACAAATATTCCACTTCTTTTGCTCTTACACCTCTTTCCTACTGTTCTTAGATTTAGGTCATGGTATACCCCATGCCATAATATTTTTAACCATTTTAAGACACCCAAGCTATAAAGGGGAGGGGACAGAAGATTACTCAGGTGGTTTTGTTTTTTTTCTTTTACTAAAATCCAACACAAATAAAGCCACGTTCATTAACCGTGTATGCAAGCATAGCTCCAGTGCAGTTTCAGGCTGCCTTGAACTTAGCTGTTAACTGTGATTTCTGATCACCGGGTATGTTCACTGCCTTCACAACATCTTTGTGCACACACACACATATAGAGGTTTCTGTGTCACTTTTCTTGTCAACATGTACATGCCCTATCTGTGGTTTTGTGTATCATCATTAATATTTTATATACAAATGTATATATACATCTAAAATGGTTCATATGACATGATAATGCAGTGTCAATCACAGTGGGTTTGTTTTCTGCGTCTGGAGTTTTCTTATTTATGCTATAACAGAATATGTTGATGTTGTATATTAAACAGTACAGTAGTATAAGTAATTATATTAAGACAGTGTATCAGAGGACGTAGTCTAAAGGCAGGAGCAAACAGCACTCTGTTCATGAAGGGGCATTTATAGTTTTGCCTTTTTTGTTGTTTTTGGGGGGAAGGGTTTGCTTTTCTTTTTTTGCACAAAATCATCTTCAATTTCTTTAGCAACAAGTGTTTCAACAATTTTATTTATGACCATATGTAAGGCATGAAAATAGATGTTTTGTGTGTGTGTACATCGAAACAAACTGTGCTCTCAGAAAACTAGTTTAGCGTAATCTCCCTTTTTCTCTGTTTTTCTTGCTATGGTGCAATACCCTGATATGATTTAGCTGAACCCTTAAATGAGTAAATATGGTGAATGGCTTTAAGTTTATCTCTGTTTTAAAAAAGTAAAAAGTACCTGCTTCCCAGCCCTTCCCGAGACACTGCCTTTTCTAATAGAAGAGTTGTATTTACACATTTCTCTTCTTTTTTTGCTGTGATTTTATATTGTAACTTCATTTTTCTTTGGGAGCATTGTATTTAAAAAAAAAAAAAGAAAAGAGAAAATTTCATAAAATTTGGAAATGTTATTAAATTATGCCTGCAAACTGAGGTGTATCTTTTAAGACAAGAGAACATGGTGAAAAACCCAAACACCAGAACATTCTGTCACTCTCTTAGTGAGTGAAGAAGTTGTTTAGTACAGCTGGAGGCCCCATGTGTCTGTGCTTGTGACTGGGGGGGGGGGGGGCAGTGTGTGGTGAGATACCCCATGGGCAGTCAGGGAGCACTGAGTACCATGCACAGCCTCAGCCTCCACTGCCATGCCTATAGCCCACGTCATGGTGAGCTCATCCTCGCAAACTATCATCTGTGGCCACAAAAAGCCACTCTGTATCAGTCACCTTGCATTCACCAGCTATGTGAAGTGGCCTTGCTAAACCAGCTCCAGCTGAAGACCAAGTCCTACCTAATCCAATGCCTTATGGCCACAAAGATGATTGGGGGCTGGAGCACCTCTCCTGTGAAGACAGGCTGAGAGAGCTGGGCTTGCTCAGCCTTGAAAAGGGAAGGCTCCAGGGACACCTTAGAGCGTCTTCCAGTGCCTTAAGGGGGCTTACAAGAAATCTGGAGAGGGACGTTTTATGGGGATATGTAGAGACAGGACAAGGGGCAATGGCTTTAAACTGAAAGAGTAGATTTGGATTAGATATTAGGAATAAATTCTGTACTGTGAGAGTGCTGAGGCACTGAAACAGGTTTCCCAGAGAAGCTGTCATGGCCCCATCCCTGGAAATGTTCAAGGTCAGGCTGGACAGGGCTTGGAGCAACCTGGTCTAGTGTGAGGCATCCCTGCTCATGGCAGGGGGGTTGGAACTAGCTGATCCCTTCCAGCCCAAACCATTCTATGATTCTGTGATTCTATATTGGCTGCTCCTGCCCAGCACATCCTTGGCCACAAAACACACACAGCTCCTGAAAGCAGCTGACTTTGAGGAGGTTGCTTCTCTTCCAGCCCTCTCGTCTTACCCTTCCCTCTCATCAACCAGCCAAAGTCATTGCAGAACACAATTACTTCTGCATGTAGAGTCATGGTAATTCAAAATAAAACACTGAGAAATTATTTCTACTATTTGCCATAACAAAGGTGATTTCTCTGCAGGTGTCCCTTTTTCCTTCAGATTCCAGCACAGTAAATTTCACATCACATATTTAATGCAAAAAAGAATTACTCTTTTGCATAGAAAAAGCACCATTTATAAAGTTTTAGAAATATTTCCATTTGTAAAGCTGTATTATTATGAACAAAATGAGATTAAAAAAAACCAAACAAGCCTCTAATGGTATTGCAATCAGTTCCCTTCAAGGTTCCCAGAGCCTAAATTTTCTTTACGTTACTGTAATGAGGTTTCATCATAAACTACCCCTACTTTTCTATAAGAAAGAACTTTTAAGTATCCTGATTTTTTTGTTCATCATAGCTGGTTCCCAGTAAATGAAATGAAATACAAAATTCTGTTTCAGGTGGATTATTCTGCAAAGTAAATACGGTCTGTTACATAATTAATAATAGTAGTAATAATTAAAGTCAGTATCATCATCACAAAAATAAACCAAATGTAATAGTCTCAATCAATGTTATTAAGTCCTTGAACCAAAGTAGAGACATCCACAGATTTAAATGCAAGTTTGTGTACCTAAAAATCTATTCTGGGTACCTATTTACAAAGTTTCAAAGACTTTCTTAAAATCATCATGTTTATATAATTTTCCTACTGCAATAGCTTGATTAAAAGACATCAGAAATGGTGGTAGGTGACAAGATACAAATTGTTATATAGACACAAACATACAACTAGCAGGGATGAGTATTTTCAGCCTCAAGTCCCCAGACAGACTTCCCAATCCATATACGAGCATCTAAACACCAAAATAGCATTGACGTGCTCAGCAACTGTTTTGTAGTCAGTCTTTGAAACCAAGAAATGCACTAAAACACACAAGGTTCTTTTAGTAGATATCAAAATGAGAACTTGGCGCCAGACCTGGAGCACACAGACCTGATAATGTCACAATTTCCCGTTTTCTGGGAGCAGAGGGAGATCACTCAACATCTTATTTGGGGGAAAGGGGTTGGTTACAAATGCTCCTGGCTGCCAGTACACCAGGGGTATTATTGCCTTGGTAATGTCAGCCTGGGAGATGGTTGAAAATAAAGGAGAAGCTTGCCCTGGAAGGTTCACGTTCCAGCAGCAGGAGCGATGCTTTGAAAGCTGACAGCATTGCAACTGGAAAACCAAAATGTTTGATTTCTGTAAAAGCTGCTCCTGCCTGTCCTGTGGTCGGAGCTCCGGGGCATCCTGCCCTGCTGTGGGCCAGCCAGGCTGTGTCCACCACCAGGAGACACTGCCAGCTTCTTTTCTGGAAGGAAAATGCTGCATGAGAGCAAACTCTGGTCCAAAGAAAGAAAAAACCCGTCAGACCTGGCCTGAGGAAGGCAGCAGAATCCTTTCTCTTGACAGGAGCTCCATTATCTCAGCTTCTCAACTTTAATTTTTGATGCATCTTTGACTATGCAGACTTTGAATTTTCAGGGCAGCTGCACATGCAATGCTCAGCAAAAGCCACTGTCAGCTGCGGACACGCAGCGCTTCTGAAACCCTGCCACAATTGCCACATGATGGGGACTCAGGAAACAGGAGGGACAAGAATTTGTGGAGTTTCACTGCAGACGGGATAGACAGGAGTGAGAAATTCAAAGCCAGGCTTCAGACAGCAGGGGGTCTGCACTTGTAAATGGAAAAAGGATGCAGCAAGCACGGCCGAAATCCAGCTCTTACCTAATGAACAGATCCATGTTAACTGCAGAGGGACTAAAACCTTTTATTCTTATATATTTTTTTCACATAAGGTAAGGTCTCGCTGCTTCAAAGCCTGTCCCAGGACAGGGAACAATTCCCATTTTTATCTATCCTGACCACACACAGGAACCATGTGAGTGATAGAGGGCAGCTGCTGCTGTTGCTGCCGATGGTGGTGGCTGCAAATCACACAAACCAACGCCTTCCTGTCCCTTGGGAGAGAAGTGAAGGTTCTGGTTTGTAAGCAGTTAGAAAAGAAGAAAAAAAAAAGAAAGCAAGCAGAAAAACCCATCAACACCTTGCAGCAGACAGTGGGCCCGGGCTGGTGGGGTGAGGAAGTTAATCAGCCCCGAGCAGGCTGTTCGGGATGAGGCCAAACAGATGGCTCGTCTCTGAAACGGCAAAACGGGAAGCAGATGTGGCCACCGCTTCTCCCCATGCATAACTGGGAACCAGCCGGTTGGTGAGGAAATTTGCATAACAAGGATAATTTGGTATCAAAACTGTCCCTAGAAGTGATCTGGATGGATCCGGGCACAGTTGACAGTTTTCACTTCTTGTTTCCCACTCAGTGTTCAGCCAGATTAAACTTGAATTCTGAGCCTCCTGTTTGCCTGAGGTGGCTTCCAGCTCTTGCAGGGAAACCTGCGTTACAGGCGGGGGGCTCAGGAGGTCTCTGTTGGAGCTTTCAGGGCCTTAACCCCTGATCTCTGTTCAGCCAGTAGAAATTGTAGGGACTAATTTCAGTGGGCTCTGATTTTCAATTTAAGGCCATGGACTTTATGTCGCCCTGTGAACGAGCAGCAAAACCAAACCTGAGCTAACAGCCTCTATCTGCATGCCACAGAAACGCATACAGCCACAAGGCTGTAACCTGCAGCTAAAAAAGGCTTGGTACAAAGGCTAATGACCTTTGCAAGCTCCTTACTACCATGAGCAGAGCCAAGAGGTGCAGAGGAGCCCACCACCTCACCCCACTGCCCCGGGGGAGTGGGACTGGGGAGATCTGGCTGTAAAAGCTCCTCATCCTGTTAAGAGCCTTTGCACCTGCCACCACTGCACTAAAAACCTTAACCAAGACCCTGGGAAAACACTGTGAATATTGAGGGATAAGGTTAACATATGGGTACAATATACTATGAGTAAAGGAGGGATGTCTTTTTTTCTACTTCTCCCTATTTTGTTTCAAAGGACACAGTAATGTCTATTTAATTACAGCTTTTACTATATAGAGTTCCTGTTACATTGACAAGGGCTAAATATACTTCAGCCTTAATACATCATTTAACTGATAATAATGCAATTTAATTGATAATAACGTAATTTACATTTAATTCATTCAAAACAGAGATCCAAATTGCTCGTAGCATTAAGGGGGGTTCAAGTCTGGATACAAAGACTCAGGTCCTCTTTCACTGATACCTCTATTGCACAAAAAAGTACCTTCATCATCCCAGGGAGATTCCTGCACATAGCTGTGGGAGTGAATACAGGCTCATTCTCTGTTGTGTTGGGAAAAAAAGAAGGAGCAAATACTTGTTGAAAACTCATCTGCAGGCACTAACAGAAGCACTGTTATATGAATTTATTTCTTTTTCAGCAAAGCACATACCCCACCTCAGAAGCCCTACTCTGAAACATTCACAAACTCTTTATTTTTGCATTGCATCCAGTCACTCAGTTCTAGACTAACACTATATATAGTATTATATTTGCATAATCTACCAAATGCACATGGGAAATGCACTTAACACACGCAGGTATGTAGGGGGTTTTTTGACTCATTAAATATTGGTACAAATTAGAATGATTACTTCTGCTTTGGAAACATCTGTCTCACTATCCCTCTGTAAATGTAAGCTGGCTGAGACACAAACCGCTTTTATAAGGTCTAATGCTGATACTCTACCAGTACTGTACTTGGCAGGAGGATTCTTACTGCAGCAACCAGGGTAAACCTGAACAAGTGGAACAAGTCAAGCTGCTGAAGGACAGGCAGTACTGACAGACCCTCAGTTCACACACGTACAGCGTGCTGCTGCTGCTCCCTAAGACACAACCACACTGCATTTAACTGACCTTTAAACAGAGATTGGATCCTGATCGGCAGAAAGTGTAGAAGTGCACAAGAAGAAAAGCAGGAGCGGCTTTAGGAAGACAGTGAAATGCGTGTATTGATAGACTCAGAGTTCTGAAATGAAGCATTTTCAACGAAACTCCAAAGCCCAAACCAGGAGAAGGAGGCTGCAGGCATCT